TCTTTAATTTATATCTCGGTCTCGGTGGCGGCCGCGGCGCTGCTGCGTCTCGGCAGCGTCGGCGGCACGCGTACCGACCACCGGCCGCGTCTGCTCGCGGCCCCGCCCTGCACAATGCCTCACAACTCATCCTGAGTCTGGACGGGGTGACGGCGGTGCGGCGGCGGGACGGCTGCAGCGAGCGGCGGCGGCGCCGCGGTGTCACGGCGACCGGCCGGCTATCACGGCGGCACAGCGGTAGCGCGGGTTGGACCGAACACTTTCGTCGGTGACACGTTTATTTTTTTAAACGTTTATTTTTTAATAGTTTCCGAGAAAACGCACGTGAAATTTCGCTAAATCGATTTAGACGTGTAATGGAAACGTGGTGAATGTCAGTCATTGGGGTACGATCGATTATCTCTCGGAAATTTGCCGTGTTTGAAGCTAGAACCCGGGTTTTATATACAAACGTCAAACGCGCTCTACCGTTTCCGGGAGCTCCTATCAGATTCGCACTGGGCTCTCCTCACCTTTGCGCGCTTCTTCTCCCCTCCCCTCCCTCCACTTCTCCCTGTCACGTGATGTCACCGTGCCGACACGTGAGTGTTCGTGACTGCTCCCTGTCGGCGGCTGAAGGCTGCGTGACGAGCCTGTCTTCTCAGTCCGTGCAACGAACTGCTTAGCGCCGAGTGGGTGGCGGCAGCGCGTGTAGCTGGCCAACAAGTGTGTCGAATAAGAGCGTTTCAGGTGGTCTGTTTGTGGCGGCTTGAGGCGTATTCACGTGATTGGCCAAGGCTCACTAGGAGGCTGATGTTTTCGCACTAAGTGGATGCAGGGCCCAGAAAAGACTGCTGTTTTCTCTTCCCAATGCTGTGATTCAATGCAGCTTCACTGCGAGCGCGTGTGTGGCCACGTATGGAGGCTCTCTCACCCAGCCGTGACAGCCGATCATGTCACAACAATAATCGGGAAACGTGTAATCCGCACAGGTATTTGACAATCTGCTGAAAGGCTCGCTGGGAAACCTTTAAGGCTTTGGGTGGTAATCTCTGGCTCATACACGGATTCAAGCTGTGTGGACAGCGCTTTAGGGGGTATCACGGGCTGGTCGCTGTACCAACAGGCAACTCGAGGCGGACCGAAAAGATAGGTGTGTCAGGGCACTAGCACAACCACTAGACTATGGTGATGAGTGTAAGTGTTCAGTCTTCCACGGTGTATGAACAGTCACCGTCAGGGGGTTCACTAGATGCTCCTTTTCTCAAAGCAGCCAGAGGCGAGATGTCGTTGCATGTGCACAGGTCGACCACGTGGTCGCCGAGCTCTGTGTTGATGAATCAGTGTTCACGGAGTTTGTCGCGCTCATACAAATGCAACCATGACTCCTTCCGGGACTAAAACACTGCGGTGGATACTGGATATGCTGATTCATTGCGCGAGTTGAGAACGAAAACCGCCCATCTCCTCACACTGGTAGTGCCTGATCACAGTGCGTCCTTGCTTGGCGAAAATTTTGTCAAATTTTCGAGCGATTCAAGTGTCTTGTGGTTGCTGCTTCGTGCGATTCCATCTGTCTTTCTGACTGGCGTTGAAACATGTCCCCCCCCCCCCTGTGAAGAGAGTTGTCCAGAGGGTCCAGAGAGTCGCACCTGGTATCTAAGCAAGGGTGCGTACTGCGTTATCACCCATTTGTGGGCGTACCGACGGGCGACGAGAAGTAACAAAGTCAAACCTGGCGTTGGGTTGCGACCTTTAGCGTTGTGTGTGCCCAGTCGGTCAATTCATGGTCATATCTGAGCTTACGTTTCGACTTATGTCACAATACTATTTTACACTCAATACTATACTCGGTGGCTAGGGTTCTCACTCTAGCTTGCACCCATGAAATAACAAATAGGCATACCGTCTTTAGAGTTTTACGCAAGTGTCTGCCCCCTTTGCCCTTTTTTGTGCATCGAAGGTCCGGGTATGGTGTTGAAATGGCATGGGCTCTTGGTATCCCAAAATGTACTCTATCCGTTCCCTTTGTGGCAGATGAAGTGCTCATGTGGAATGGCCGATGATTGAAAAGGTTGGATGGCAGCAATAATCATGGCTCGTGGCGCTAATGCGGGCCAGTTGTGGTTCAGTCATTTTTTTGCTCGGCGTCTTTATGCGCAAAACATCACTAAGTAGGCCGATCCATTACCTTATGTGTGGGTAATTATGCGATCATCATTGTTAGGCGTAGCTCTTGGCATGCTACCCCAGGACTGAGTGCTGTCATTCATAAGCCCTTTCTTTCCATGCGAGTTGTTCATTGTGCAGGTGGGAATAGCTCGTTCCAGTATTCTCATCGTTTCCCGGCTTTGCCTGCCTAATTGTTGTGCCTCGGGACTGACCACAATGAACAGTCTTTGCATTGCTTTCATTTTCAATTGCGTCCTGTGCCCTTCTGTGAAAAGTGACACTCTGGGACTCCCGGAGACCAACAATGAAAGCAAACGAGCCAGCCGGTAGCGATCATCTTTTTTTTTTAAATGGTGGGATTCCTGATATGGTGTGTAATGCTACGAAAGAAATTGTCTTGCAATAATTGAATCGTCCGATATTTTATTGGTCCATTTTGCCTCGTGTTTTCTGGTTTGAAAAATATTTTAACTGGTCGGTGGTGGTGTTGAACATTGGTTTGTTTCAGATCAAACTGCCGTTAGTGTTGGTCTGTTACGTTTACGGAATGGTGGACTTTGATATAGCACCGATCACTGGGTTCGACGAACTCTTACGTAACTTTTTGTCGTGCGTTGACTGTATTCTTTTTTAAGAACCCCAATCCTGATTTCCGTGTTATTGGACCACTGGCTGCCGCTGGCGAGGCTGCGCTGTTTCTGATTCGGCCGTCCCGTCGCTGGTTTATCCGTCCTGTCCCCGACTCGACCGTCCTGCCGTTGGTTTGTCCGTCCCGTAGCCCGTCCGCCTGTCTCACGGTATGTCCGGTGGACCGCCGGCGGTGTGTCTGGTTGACTCTCCGGCTCCGGCCGCCTTCAATCGATGGCCGCGCGCCGGCAGTGACCCAGTTGGGCCCACTGAGCTGAGCTGGAACCGGCGCACAGTGTGGCCGAATACCAGTTTAGCGCGAATTTAATCCCAGCGCCGCTCGGATCCACTGAAAATGGTTATCTGGTTCCAAAACTGACATTTTCCCCTCGCCGGACCTATTGGTTTTCAAAATACGCGCCGGCCGAAAGGGGGGGGGGTACGACCCCCGTCGCTGTTTCGCCCCTGATGAAGCTAGAGCCTCGCGGAAAAAAACGAGCGTGTGTGCCGTTAGGAGACGCAGCAACTGGTATCCGATTTTAAGGTCTCAGGTTAACCTGTGACCTCTGAGGTCAGGTCAAGTGGCCCAAGGCACGGATTCGTTTTTTATTAATAACTTCGCGAAAAAATGCCGCAGAGCCGCAATTTTGGCATCATCGTGTTCGCCTCGCTCAGGTGCGTCGAATGGTATACTTTTTGTTCGGCTAAAGTCAACTTAAGGTGTTGACCTCGGGTCAAGGTCAGGTTAGAGCCTCCCAGATCACGAAGTTGGTCGAAGGAGGTCATGTTGCATATCATTCGATTCGGCAGGTCTTCCTGAGTCCATTGGTGGCTTTTCCGACTCGCTAGCTCAATTTGATCGGGAGTTATTGACGAAAAACTCTTATTACCCTAGTGACGTCATAAATGACGTCACGTAAGGCCAATAATGCAAAAGTGAAGCATCGGACCTTGCAAGGAGTGCGTGAAATCACGATTCCGTGTGCTTGAGATAGTTAATTAGGCTGGAGCCTGTCCGGCCGCGCCGCCCCCGACCTTGGTCAGGTCACGCCGGGCGGCCGACTAGACATGTTCAAAGCTGAATTGACGGCAAATAGGCAAAAAGTGGCAGCTGAAACTTGCTCGCTTATGTTCAGAAATGTGCGGAGAGTTCAGCCATGCCCTATTCGTCATATCCATTTTTATCCATTTTGATATTTTCCAACTTCTTTATGAAATACTATCGTGAGAACGATACACATGCAGGGCTCCTGTTCTAACTCATTAAACTCAGAAACCATTCATTAAAAGCCTACCATGATAGCAGAAACAGCTTCATCATGAATTGTGCTATACGGTGATATGCTATTTTCTCATATATCTTCTCGAAGCTTTCGTAAAATTTACATTGAAAACTGGACATATTTCTCAGTACCATAGCCCGATTTCAGGAACCGGAGCGTGGGTCTACTTTCGGCAGGGATATAAGTCCTCAAATGATAAAGTGGCTTAAAAATAAGGTTCTATCCGATAACTTTGGACAATTTCCTACCCATTGATAGGTATAAATAACAGTTTATCGAAAGTCGGATTTTTGATTAAATTCGCGCTAATCTGGTATTCGGCAAGACCGTGCGGCGGCGGCGTCCGTTACGGCGTGTGACGTCACCGGCCAGACAGCTGACGCGCCGGCCGCCATGGTCGGCGGTGGCGATCGCTGGAGCCCGGGGAGGCTCGCGGGCCGGGCCGGCCGGCGGGCCGTCTGTGGCCGCCGGTTTTCCGTGTGGCCGCCGGAGCGAGCCGCCCTGGCCGGATACGGGCGTGGTCGCGCCTCGTGCCGGTGCCGCGGGGCGCCCACCGGCCACCAGACGCGACATATGGCCACCCTGTCATGGCGCCTTGTCAGATCGTTCGGTCGGCTGACAGCGCTCGGTATCCGGATACCTGACAGTTCCTTCTGTCACGTGGGCGGCCGGTCGGGGAGGGGAAGGGTGGCACTGTCAGAACTTTGTATTGTCACTCACAGGGGCTGCGGCAGCACCGGCTTTCAAAATGTGCCGCGGGGTGCGTGCTACGTGATTGCACCCAATGCCTCTGCCCCCACTCGGACCCGCCCTGACCCTGTGCTGAGTATCGTTTCACTCTACCCCACCGTGACCCGTCCGGCCCTCTGCTGAGTATCGGTAGGTCATCACCACTGAGCGAGCAGTGCTCTGACGCCCTCCCCTCCCGCTCTGTTTCAGCCATCATCGTCGGCCGGTACAGCGACCCCGTCACCGGCGGAGAGGCCGCCAAAGTTGTGGAAAACCTAGGCGATTACTTGACGGGCGTCGGCTATTAAATGGTGAGTGGAGCTTCGTTGGCCGGCCGGCCGGCGCGGTCCGTTTGCCGGTCGGGCACCGGACCTCGACCTCGCTGACCTTCAGCTCAGCTGATTGCCAGGGCCGGCGGCAGGGAGCCGGCCTACACATGGACTGATCGAGGATGTCGACGTGCCGGTTAGGCTAGACTGGATTAGACTTGCTCTCGTTTCGTACTCAGAACGTGCTATCGAGATGGTATCTGTTGAATGTAGTGTGTGATGGAATGGCGATGTGTTTTGCTCGGTGGATTTGATTATCTATCGGTCTGTCATTGCGCGTTCGGCTATGCGCCGTGTCGCAATGTCCGGCCGCGTGTGACGGGCCGTGGGCTGACGCGCGCGCCGGCCTGTCTGTGACGCGGCACGTCCGGCTGTCTGTTACAGGACGCTGCGTGATGTGGCTGAGCCTGCCGTGACGGCGCGAGCAGCCGGGGGCAGCCGGCGCCGCCCCCGCGCCTCTCCTCTCTATCTCTCTATCTCGGCCGGCACGCGCACAACGGGCCGTCACATTCCAGGTCTGCGGGCGAGCTGTGACGGCGCGCGGCCGCCGTGCGTCACCCGGCGCGCCGCGCGCCCGGCCGCCCCCCTTCCAGCGCCGCCCAGCCGCTCCGCTCCCCAAACACACAACGTACACACATACACACACGCCCAGTTTTGTAATATTGTTTTGTAAGTGCGCGCGCGTGCTGCCGGGCGCGCGCGCGCGGCGTGGGGCGGTCGGCTCTCCTCCGTTGTTCATCAGTCCAGTCTTGGCGATGCTAAATTCTTTCCAGGCGCCGGCGCGCCAGTGCAAGTGGGCGCGCGGGCGGGCCGACTGTGCGTGCGCGCGCGCGCGCGAGTGAGAGAGCGAGCGAGTGTGGCCGCTGGGCGTGACTGGGTGGGCGGCACTGCGAGTGAGCGCGCGGGCAGTGCCGCCGCCGGGCCGGACGGATGGACGGAACGACCTGCAAGGTCAATCGGAAGGAACTCTGATAAAACGCGTGATCCAGCGAGGCGACAAAGTCAGCTTAACTATACTTAAGTGATGTTAAAACGAGATAATTATCCGATCTGAATCAGTCAGGCTTCCTCTTCTGTGAATAACCGTGTGGTGTGATTTTACTTGCAGTCAACGGAGTTCGTTTAAATTTGTATCAAAAATCGTTTCTTCCAACAGGGTTCTTGCTTCTATATTCCGGTTCTGGAATATATATCGCTTGCCTAGTTTTGTATCCTCGTTAAGCAATGTATTCTGGGTCCCGTTATGTTTTTGTACTAAGCGATTGAAGGCCCCCAAATAAATTTATTCGAAAGATGCTGTGTGTGGAGTGGTCGGTTATCATAGGTGACTTATTTGACCGGGCTCGCGACCAAGGTTTCTCGCTGTACTCGTCCTCATGTGCAGTGTGCACTTCATTGTTCGATGTCTGTGTGTTCAGTAGCCAGAACACTGAACATTCGTCAATAAGGTCGTTTATTTACAATGTATACGACGCATTCACTTGTATATACGAATACAATAATATAACGCGGCCCTAACGCCCACATGAGCTCTGACATAGCACAGGGCCTTTTATACATCTGGATATGCACACGTTTACCCAAACTACATTCATCCAATTCCCACCTCGCGCCATATTTCATCATACGGGTCGCCAGTCATATCACTGGGTATATTGAAGCCATCATGTTAATTGCACAATGCACATGAAGGGGAGGGTATACAGAGGGACGGCTGCTCGCTATGGGCGGGCCGCCGGAACAGCGGCTACACTTGCTCCAGAGAGTACTGCTTCCGGCGCCAGAAACCCTTGAAGATGCTGAATTTGAACTTGGAGTCGCCATCTGAAACAAACACAGAACATTCATTAGTGGCGTGAATCGTGATATGGCTGAGCCTGATCACCGAATCAGCAATCGTGTTGCCCTAGGTGACGAGCCCTAAAGCCCCAATAAACATCAACAAGCAATAGTGGTCACTTAGTTTCCGCAGAGCACACGGACCTGCTGCCACTGAAGCGGCACGGCCCGTTCCCGGGAATCGCTGTGGCTGCTGCTAATGCATGGTGGTGAGCGCGGTCGCGCCGGCCGTCTCTGTGCCCTGTGGCCGGGACGGCCCCGGGGGCAGGCCGGGAGGCCGTCGCCACAGCGCAGAAGCACGTACACAGCCGGCGAGGCGGACAAACACGACCCAAACCGGCGAAGGTCGGCGTCGGACGCCGGCGGCCCGCCTATTCCGGGCCTCCAGCGCCGGGCCGGTAGCCAACACCAGCACACCGAGTTCGACAGTCGAGATCGGTGGCAGCTCGGCCCCCCGGCAACAAACTGCGGCAGCCGACAGGACGGAAACCCGCCTCCGCCAGCCGCCGGTCGGCTGGCTTCCGTGACCGCTCGGCCGGCCGCGGCGCGCGCGAGTTTATCTCTCGGCGCGGCGGCAGGCGCGCGCGCCTTATTTGGTAGTGAGGCCGCCGGCTCGACCCTGCCTGTTTTTGGAGCCAGCCGGCCGGCCGGCCGGTCGGCGGCGGGCGCCGGTCAGCACGGGCCGGAGTGGGGCTCCGCCAGCAGGAACCGACCTCCTCGCCGCCCATATCGCTGCAGATAACGCCAGTCTGGGCAAACAGGCGTGTCCGTGTTTGCTGATCGAGTCAGCGGTGTGGCGATTCGACGCGGCCATATTGGGTCGGCTCCGCCCTCCGTCTGACCCCCGACGGTACGCCGGGAGACAGGCATTTGTCTCGCACCGACGATCATCCATCACCGCGTCTCGGGACCGAACCCGCTCCGGATCTGCCCCGACGGCCCTCACTGGCCGGGCGGCACGTGGCCGGTGGTGCCCCGCCCTGCGCGCGGCGCCGGCGCCGCTGCCAGCCGGCCTCTGTCGGCGCCGACACAGGAATAGTCGCCGGCAGTCGGCCGGGGCGCCCGGCTCCGTCTGACCCCGATACACAACCGGGCCGAGCCGCGCCGGTGCGGCCGCTGTCTGGTTTTTGCGCGGCGTTTTTGCGGCGACGCCGGGCGAACTGCGGCCTGGCGACACAGCCACACTGACAGTCGCGGGAGGGGGGAGGGGCGAACTGGGGCGTGGCAAACAACCCACGCTCTGACGGCGTGGCACGGGGTCGCCTGTAGCACGCAAGCAATAACGGTAGCTTCGGTACGGATAGGGCACCAAAACCGAACGGAAGATCGACAATGGTATAGCGCCGAAACATTACCTCCACTAACAACCATCAGCCAGTCAGCGATGTGCCTGGATCAATCCCCACGTCGCCTTTCATTAGCGTCCGACGACCGCCGCTGCGCCGCGACCTTCCATCGCTCTCTCAGTCTGGCGGTCAGCCGTCTGGCACTCGGCGTGACCGATGACCGCCAGCTCGGTCTCTGTAGGACCCGTCTCCGTCCTCCGGCGTGGTTCCGATCGGGACCGTCTGCGCACCGATAGTCGGACGGCTGATACGGCCCGTACGGAGGTGGCGAGCAAACAGCCAGTCGCCGATTGGCGCCGCGGCTGGCACCAGGATTAACGATCCGCACAAAGGCAGCGGCGCCGCCGGAGCGGGCTCTGCTAACGGTTCACGAAGACGTGCAAAGCCGCGCGCCGATAGTGCAGCCGCCGTGAGCGAGCCGTCGGGAAGGCGGCCAACCCGGTATCACGTGACGGCGACCCGGTGAACAAATGCTAAATTGATAGCCGTACTCACTGGCATGCGTTTAGGAAATGGTTGTTCCTTTTTGTGCTGAGCTTGTAAATCACACAGCGAAATATGGGTCGATTACGGTAACGGTCGCAGTGAGCGTTATAAATTTATCTGCTTTATGGTAGAATTAGGCCTGCGATGGTGGCTGACGTCGCGCATGGCTGCCCCTGCGTTGGTTTATTGAATACCAGTACGGCAGTAGAGGTTATGAGCGTAACCGAAACTCAGCAAAAAGGAGCAGCACTAGTTGCTCTGAGCGGAATAACAGTCGCGCAATAATGCGGCCGCGCTCAATGACAGCCATTTGGTTTGATCACTGGCCATTTCAGAAGATGAGTTACCCATGCCTTCGATCCGCCCCAATTCCGAGCCAAGCCCAGAGGCTTGGTCTGCCCTCGTTATCAAGCAGATATAGCCACCAGCCGCCGACCGGCATGATGTTTCAATGGAACCAAGAGGATTTACTTGAAATCTTGGACGATTTTTCTGAGCTCTGACCCGGCCAAGGACGAGACTACCAGATTCCTCGGTCCAAAGCCGCGCTCACAGCCGCCGGGAGCGGTACCGGTTGCATTCTCGTGCTTCTGAGGAGTGTCGTTCTGAGCTCATATGAGCCTCCATTAGCGCCTTGTCCGGGCTACCGCAACGCCACATCATGCGGTGGGGATCGGCCGGAGCCACAGATGACAAAGCCATCGTTTGAAATACCACGGAGCCGGTGCGGAGCCACGGATCCGGTAACGGAGCCAGAATGGAGCCAGAGGTTCACTAACGGAGCCGGTGTGGAGCCATAGTTCCGTCACCGGAGCTGCCGCGGAGCCGGTATGGAATCACAGGTCCATCACCGGAGTCGGTATGGAACGGCATATCCGTCTCCTGAGCCGACATATAGCGATCCAGTTCCGGGAGCAACTCTCGTCTGGGACTCTGGCTGTCCCAAGTGACTGACGAGGAAGGGAGGGAGTGAGGGAGGTATGCCGGACCACAGCCGGACCCGCACTCTGCAGTGTTCGGGCGGACCCGTCCGCCTCCCAGCAGCAACAGCGGCGGCGCGGCGGGCGGGCCGCATACCTTCTCAGCCGCACCAGCGCCGCAGGCAAGGCAGTCGGCGGCCTTGCAGCCATGAAGCGCCGCTCGCGCCCGCTGTGCAGTAATGATACGGTCGGGCCGGCCGGCGCTCCCTGGTCCGCACGGCGCCGCTCGCCACGCGGTGTCTGCGGTGACGGTAGTGTGGTCTGACGGTGCCGGCGACCAGCGGCGCCTGACCGAGCCGCACCTGCGTCCGTCGTCGAGCCGACCGACACGGCGAAACCCGACCTGCGCCCGCGGTAACGGCGGTGGTGGTGGTGTCTGGGAGAGGTAGCAGCGGTCACAGAGCGGGCGGTGACAGCGGCACCGGCGCTGGCAGCGGGCAACGCCCCCGCTCCGGTAAACAGTACTGCGGGGCTGCGCCCTGCACGTCTCGCGAGTCAACCCACCGCCCGGCGGAGGCGGCGGATGCCTGCGCGACCGTGATGCAACCGCGGCCCGATAGCCAACCGCTGCACTCTGTCCAGTATGCTGTGCAGTGTGCACTGGACTCGATCCAACGCTGGTCTACACTTGCCGCAGGAATGGACAGAGTCGACGCTAGGCAGGGCTGTTATTGGGTTCAATGCGAACAAACCGACAGCGAAGTGATGCGCGAATTGGCCGTACTCGGAAAACAATCGAGCTCTGCAGCGGAAATGCCCGACTTTGAAGTCCGCAGTGAGCTGCAATACGGGCAGAGCGAGCCGTTTCGGTGGCTAAATAATTAATCGTTCTATTTGTCGGCAAGGGCACCAAGGCTGATTGATGTTTGCGTCATTCGCAATGAGCCACTCAATGATTAATAGTGCACTGGATTGACTGAATGAACGTCACGTACCGACCGAGCTAGACTGATCCATTCCACGACCAAAAGTCGCTTACCCTGGCGTTTCTTTGTCGCGGATCCCGCTGCCGCTTGCGTCATGAATTCTGAGCGCGACGGCAAACAAAGACAGCTCTCGGAGCTCTGCATGTCGCATTCAGTTCCCGGCGGCCCCTCACTGTCTCTGAGTAGCCACCGCGCTCATATCGGCCGGGCCGCAAGAAACGGCGGCCAGGCCAGAGCAGAAAAACCGAGAGGTCAGCCGGTCCAGCTCGGCTGCGCAAACACACAGTGGCGGCCGGAGGCGACTGAGACGGTCGGGTCCGGGCTGAGAGAAGGGCCAGTCAGAAGCCGCCGACAGGCATACCTAAGCTAAATCCCTTTCTCCTCATACACCGCTACACCGTTCGCCAGCGAAGAATGAGATCAACAGACTCCATTCCCATCGCTGATAAATGTCGCGTTATAACACGACACGACACGATAAATAATAGCCGGACAACCTGTTGCCGTGACCTAGCGATAAAGGCCAAGTCGCCAACTGGCGAATAATGTGCCGGAGAAATCAGATGATTGCCGTTGGATGAGCATGGAAAGTCAATGTCATCAGAAGCGACACGAATCTGGCGAAAATAAATGGAAAACACCAACACACTAGCGACGAAGGAAAACGTTAAAATAAAAGACGAAATGGTAGAAAGGACAAGAGTTTGACACAGGAGCGGTGTTCGAATCCCAGTCCGACACTGCAGTGGACTAGCCTCGGTCCCCGTGAGGCAGTGTAGCCCTCGGAGCGCCGTCTCGGCCGTCGGTCACGCCTGGCTGGCTCTCCGCTTCTGCAATATTCAGGAGGGCTAACAGCTGGGACTCGCTACGACCACATGCCAGCCTTAACTGCCATGGTCCAGCGGTAGCGGGACGTGAAAATATGCCTGCGGATCTGAGCGAGCACCACCACGGACGCCAGTGAGAGGGTTTCCAGGCAGCCGAGTGAGATTGTGCTCTCCGTATAAACGATCTCGAGTTTCAGTATGATATTTGTGTTGGAGTGAGTCGGTACATCTTATTTACACCCGTCCGACATTCACCCGATCTACACATCGCCGCCTGTTGCTAATATTGGCTCGCCTCGGCCCAGTTTTGCTAGTATCGGGCCGCCACAGCTGCTCTCCCTCCTGCCTCTCTCCTCCGCGCCTCTCCTCAGAGACGCCGGAGCCCGGCTCCCACGGGTCTGCGTCGCCCCACCTCGCCGA